GCAGCGGGGGCGCCAAGAAGGCGAGCTCGGGGCTGCGGCGGCCGGAGAAGCCGCCCTACTCCTACATCGCGCTCATAGTCATGGCCATCCAGAGCTCGCCCAGCAAGCGCCTGACACTCAGCGAGATCTACCAGTTCCTGCAGGCGCGCTTCCCCTTCTTCCGCGGTGCCTATCAGGGCTGGAAGAACTCTGTGCGCCACAACCTCTCGCTCAACGAGTGCTTCATCAAGCTGCCCAAGGGCCTGGGGCGGCCCGGCAAGGGCCACTACTGGACAATCGACCCGGCCAGCGAGTTCATGTTCGAGGAGGGCTCGTTCCGCCGCCGGCCGCGCGGCTTCAGGCGGAAGTGCCAGGCGCTCAAGCCCATGTACCACCGCGTGGTGAGTGGCCTGGGCTTTGGGGCCTCGCTGCTGCCCCAAGGCTTCGACTTCCAGGCGTCCCCGTCGGCGCCGCTGGGCTGCCACGGCCAAGGCGGCTACGGCGGCCTCGATATGATGCCCGCGGGCTACGACACGGGCCCTGGGGCCCCGAACCACGCGCACCCGCACCACCACCACCACCACCACGTCCCACACATGTCGCCCAACCCGGGCTCCACCTATATGGCCAGCTGCCCGGTGCCCGCGGGGCCCGGGGGCGTCGGTGCGGCCGGAGGTGGCGGCGGCGGCGGAGACTACGGGCCGGACAGCAGCAGCAGCCCAGTGCCCTCTTCCCCGGCCATGGCGAGCGCCATCGAGTGCCATTCGCCCTACACGAGCCCCGCGGCGCACTGGAGCTCGCCCGGCGCCTCGCCTTACCTCAAGCAGCCGCCCGCCCTGACGCCAAGCAGCAACCCTGCGGCCTCTGCAGGCCTCCACTCCAGCATGTCTTCCTACTCGCTGGAGCAGAGCTACTTGCACCAGAATGCCCGTGAAGACCTCTCAGGTAACGCAGCGTCCCCGGAGCGCCCCGCTGGAGGCACTGCCTGGAGCCCTGCAGGCCCCGTGGCTACTGCCACTCCCATCGGGCCACAGCCTGGGGTCCCAGGGCACCGAGAGAAGCCGATGCTGGGGGGAGCTGCCACCCCATTCATGGGGCAGGGTGTCCTCCTGTGTACCCCTGGCCAGGAGTGGGCCTCTAGAATTGCCCGGCTGCTACGAGGCTGGTGCAAAGCCCCTTGCTCTTCTGGGGTTGATGGGTGTCTCTATGGACTTCGGGTACCGGTTCAGGCCTGACAGCTTTGAGAAGGCGTGTAGCCTTTGGGGACCTTGATCAAGGAACTGTGGTCTCGTTCCTTTTGCCCCCCTCCCCCTTTTTCCCAGTTCATTTTGCTTTACTTTTGTCCAAAAGTTGGCATCACAAAGGGAGATGTTCCTTACACTGGGGTGTGGGTGGGGAGGAGTTTGTTCTGGGCAAGTGTTGAGAGGAGGCAAAAACAGAGGCAGAGGGAAACAGAGTCCGAGGATCTTTCATTAGAGGGGCATACTGCCAGGAGAGAGGGGCACCAAGCTGTTGAGGACCCCCCCCACACACACACACACACACCACAGTGCACCCGCAGTGATGACACAGAATTCTGTCCAGGGAGCAAGACCTGAGACCTGCTGTGACTCCCTTTGGACGCCACATCTTGTGGCTAGCTTAAACTGTGTTGGTTGCAGATTATGAAAATTTATTGACTTGCTGAAGACGATGAAAGGTAGGAGGGGGTGGAGGAAGGAATTTGAATATCTGGCCGGGTTGATCTGGAAAATGGAGATAAACCCTCGCATTAACCCCTCTAGCGTCCACAGGCTGCAGAGTAAAATCGGGATAGCCGGCCTGTCCCAGGCCAGGCCCCATGTGGGCTCCTATGTACCTCCCACTGCAATTGACAAGGGTTCCTAGGAGGACGCACACTTTCTGTGTCGGTGAGTTGGTGTGCGGGCGCACGGGGAGAAGGGAAGCCCAGAAACAGGCAAAAGTTCCCTGGATGGTGAAACTTCCCAAATAGGCCTTTTAAATGTGGGTCCCAGAGGTTAACTAAACAAAGACAGTCTCGGCAGGACCACACGGGAGAGGATTTTAGCCTGACTTAACCCACTGAGAGCAGAGTCTTGTTCAATTTTATGGGAATTTCAACAAGTAACCAATACAGATGACCTCCCCCCCTCCCATTTTTGTATTCCCTGGGACTGGCTGTCAATCTCTCTCTCTCTCTCTCTCTCTCTCTCTCTCTCTCTCTCTCTCTCACACACAC